TCAATATATGTTCCATTCTATATGCATCCGAAGAAGTGGGCTGTAGTCCACGAAAGCTTATGCTCTAATAAATTTGTTAGTCTCTAAGGTGCCACAAGTACTCCTGTTCTTCTTTTTGCGGATACAGACTAACACGGCTGCTACTCTGAAACCTGTCATAGAAGATTTTAGTTGCTTAGGGACTGCTCTCAATGAAGTCATGAGTAAAATACCCACTGAATAGTTTGAACAGACCATTAGACATTGATAATAAGTTTCGTCCATATTTTCCATTGTATTTTTATGTAGATCACCATAAAACTCTTATAGCTAGATAACATGTTCACTGGGGTATATATTAGTACATCTAATCTGAACTCCATCAGTGCTACAATTTACTCCCTATCTGAACATTTATGTTAGAAATTTTGGGTTACGGAATACTTCAGCACACTGTCAATTCAAATGTCAATTTAGCCATTGGAACACTTTATCAAGGGTCATGATGGATTCTCCATCATTGACAATTTTAAAATCAAGATTGGATGTTTTTCTAAAAAATCTGCGCTAGGAATCATTTTTGGGAAATTGTGTGGCCTGTCTTATACAGGAGGTCAAACTAGATGCTCACAATGGTCGTTTCTGGCCTTAGAATCTATGAATTCAATATTTAAATACCAGAGTGAGAAGACAGTAGACAAAATATTTGTGTATTTAAAAATCTTTTTACCATTTTTAACCACCATGTGAAAGCCTGAAACTGGGATCTGTTTGCTTACTAAATTCGGTTTCCCTCTCATGAAGTGCACAAATTGGTTTATTATAAATTCAGTGCCAGCATCTCTATAAACAAAGAAATTACTAAAGTAATTAGTTTGGAAAACAAATAATTAGGACTTGCAAACTGAAAGAAAACAAGTCAAATTCTGAGTTGTTAACCTTCATGAGTTAGAACTGTAGAATATTTAATATATGATCTGTCAAGTTATGGAAAATAAAAAGATACGTTGCTGTATAGTTTGACAAGCAAGTGATGAGTCATTACCTTTAGAGTCCTGACTTCACAATGCAGGTCATGTAAAACTCTCATTGGAGATTCATCTTCATATTCTTCAATATGCATGTTAATGGAAAACGATTTTGGAAGAAAAACAGAGGTTAATATCTTTTCATTAAGTTAGTCGGTAATCTCAATTATTTCTACCATAGACATATACTTCCATTAGATTCAACATGAAAAACAAAACAAAAACAAACAAATAAATATATAAAAACCAAGTGTAATATTATAAACCAAATGCCCCACATATCATGAGACTGCAGCGTGACAACTGACATTACACAGGATGCAAAGCCACAGGGGGAAGAGGAGAGAAATTGATGAGGATCAATTTAGGTTCACTCCATTACTGCTCCAGTGAATGATGCTAGAAAGTCCTGTTTATAGAAGCAGTATTACCACAGGTATAATCTGCTCCTATAAGAATGTGCTGTGAAAACGTGATACCTGTGCCAAATTTCACCTCTTATCAGGGTTAACCTTCAACTCAGTTTGGCAGAAACATGGATACAAACATCTATACCTGCAAAAAGCAGAATCTAATACCAATTCTGACTTGTTTGCTTGCATACAGATGCCAGTGTTTCCCACTTATGCATGTAAGTCAAAAGCAGGCAGACTTTGTCCCTTATATTGGAAATTGAGGTTAATGTGAATAGCTGAAGCAAGAGGGAACATCTGCTATGTGACAAGACATGGCAATGTACAGACCAGGAAAAGTATGAGTTGATAAATGAAATTAAAACCTTGAATCAAATGTGCAGATACGCTATAAAACAAGTAAGCAATGCAAATAGATAGACAAATAGCATAGGACAGACTAGATCAATAAGGACAATACAAGCAGCAATAGGTTTACAATGAAACAGAAAATGTAAGTAAAACCTACTGACTTTAAGGATTAGAGGTAATGGAACAAGGCACTGAATTGTCATCAAAGATTAAATAGAAAAAAAAACGTCATTAATGCAGAGTTAAGGTTGCCCGGTGGTATCTCATGCCCCTCCAAAACTCCAAGTTTAGCAAAACTCAAACTTGTGAAAACGAAGAAATACAAAGTTGAGATACCTGCCCATGCAATATTAACTCTGCCCACCTGGAGCTCCCACTGTGAATTATCTGCATGCTCCCGAGCTGCGTTCATTGTGTTAGATGTAGCTGTACTGAATGGTAGAGAAATTAGTTGGAGCAGCTCGGAAGAAGAGTGATTTTGATATGAGGCAACCTAGGAGGCTGCAGTCTCTGGGGATTTGAGAATCCCTCTCCTTGACCCCTGAGTGTGTGATCAAAGAGATGCAAGTGTACTTGAGAAATCTAGCATCCTTCATTTCAGCACTGCACTCTGTAGGTTAAGCTGGCCTGCTGAACTTTAACGTGATTGCTCATCCCAAGCATGAATAAAGTGGGGAGGGTTGAGCACAAGGTTAACCACCTAGCCTCATAAAAAACCCACACTGATTATAGAAACGGAACCAAGGTATCATTCCGGTAAAAATGGCTGCTCAGCAGAGAACACTGCTGAGCTTGCATGCTGCATGAAGGCTCCTGGTGAAACCAAGTCTGTGGAAACCAGGACCCTGAAATGTTTGATGCTGACAGCAAGAAAACACTTCAAAGTTTGTTACTGAAACATGAGAATGATGTTTCAAATATCAAAGATCATGAAGAAGATGGACAACGTTAGATTCGAAATTCTGGGTATCAGCGAGAGCAGACTGACAGGTGCAGTCAAACAGCACTTCAAGCAAGAGAAGCCACATCTCATTTATTCAGGTTATAGTGACAACAAACAATTAGAGGGAGTAGTGCTCTTTATGGCTGATTCTACACAAGGTAATCACTCATCAATTGGGAACATATAAACCAGTGCATCATATACTCCAGACTCCAAACCAGATTCCTAAAAATGTCAATCAGAGTGCTATGCTCTGACAGAGGAACATGGCAATGACGATAAAGATGAGTTTTTAAATTGCCTCCAAAGAGGATTGACAGAATACCAAAACATGACTTACTCCTTGTGATGGGTGACTTTAAGGCTATAGTAGGATGTGACAAACTAGGAATGGAAAGAGAAATGGATAAGTATGGGTTGGGAGTCATCAGTAGAATTGTACTTGGTGTCCAACCTAGTTCTTGCAAGTACCCAGTTCCCTTACAAAGACATGCACAAAGAAACATGGAATTCACCAGATGGCAAAATGACAAACTAGATCAATCACAGCCATAGGTGCGAACTTTCCCCGGCGCCAGTGGGTGCTCGCGCCCCTCCACCCCCAGCCCTGCCTCCATCCTTTCCCCGCCCCCATTCCAACCCCTTTCACAAAGTCCCCGCCCCAACTCCACCCCCTCCCTGTCCCTACTGGACCCCTTCCCCAAATCCCCGCCCCCGCCTCTTCCCCGAGCGCGCCATGTTCCCCCTCCTCCCCAGCCACGCGAAACAGCTGTTTTGTGGTGCAAGCGCTGGGAGCCAGGGGAAAAAAGCGGGAACGCGGCACACTCAGGGAAGGAGGCGGAGGCAAGCTCGGGGGGGGGGGAAGAGAGGGGAAGTTGCCGGTGGGTGCTGAGCACCCACCAATTTTTCCCCGTGGGTGCTCCAGCCCCGGAGCACCCACGGAATCGGCGTCTATGATCACAACTGCACTAGTTTGAAAGTCAGGTCATCTGTCCAAGCCTCAAGGGTACATTGAGCAGCAGATGTCAGCAGCGGCCAAAATCTTTGCATTTCTAAACTGAAATTCAAATTCAAACTAAATTATCAGCTTTAAACAGAAAACAAAAGTGTACAGTGAGAAATTCCTGCTTGAACTGAAAAACAGATTTGAGACATTGCCAGAGGCAGAGGAAGGTGAGAGACAACAGACCTGAACAGTGCTCAGACTTCCAGAGACAATGTGATTTAACCTGCAGCAGCCACAGTTGGGTATCAGTGTAGACAGAGCAAGAACAGGGTAAGCCAAGAAATGTGGCGTCTCATCCATGAAAGAAAAGTACTGACAGGAAAACTCCTGAATTCTAAGATCAATGAAATATTGGAAAAAACAAAAGAGGAGAGCAAGAAAGCAGTGAAAAGCAATGCAAGGAAAGATAAATGGAGATATGTTGAAGACCTACCAGCTGAAGCTGAAACTGCTGCTATGATAGAAAGTCAGAGTTGTTTACCAAGTGAAAATTTCAAAATAGGAAATAGGCCAATAAAAAGCAAAGATGGAAAAATACTTACAACTGAGGTAGGCCAGAAAAACAAATGAGTAGAACATTTCAAAGAAGTTCTCAACAGACAAGCCCCATTTCAGCACCAGATTTTGATGAAACATGCAAACTGGATCAACTCAATATTAACAATGGCACAACAGAGATGTCAAAAGTACAGGTTGCAACCAAGAAACTGAAATATAAAGCGTTGAGAGATGATCAAGTCACAGCAGAAACACTAAAAACTTGATCCCATCACCGTAACAAAACAGACAGTTGGTCAACGAAGGTTTGGGAAAAAAAAGAGACCCCCTAATGACCAGTGAAAAGATGGAATCATTGTCAGAATATCCAAAAAGGGTGATCTTACTGACTGCAAAAATGGGAGAGAAGTTACATTACTCAGTTGTAGGGAAAGCCGTCTGCTGAGTGACACTACGCAGGAAGAAAGGCAGTGGGTACAAAGTTTAGAGAAGAACTCAGGCCCAAGACATCCTGCGTAGAGGAGATATTTATACTAAGGACCATCATAGAAGAATGTCTAACCTGGGAAGCTCCCCTCATCATCAATTTAATTGATTTTTCAAAAGACATTTGAACAGCCTGCACAGACATACATTGTGGAATGTGCTTCAGTCCTACAGAATCCCACCTAAAGTTGTCACCATTATCAAGGCCACGTACAAGATGCTGTAAGGGTAAACAACCAGACAAGGTAGTTCAACTTGGGCTCTGTCATAAAACAGGGCTGCATTTTATCACCACTGTTTGGCATTGCCATAGACTGGATAATGAAGAAGGGTACTGGCAACACAAACACTGATATAGCATGACAAATGCCTAGAAGACCTAGACTTTGCTGATGATATTGCACTACTGAGTGACACTCCTGAAAAGTTACAAAGATAGACAATCTGGCAAAAACACCAGGCCAAGCAGGGCTCAAGATTAGTATGCTAAAACAAACATCCTTGAAGCCCAGTCATCTAGCAGTAAAATCACACTACAAGGCAAAAACAAAAAGTAGAACAGTTCACCTACGTAGGCAGCACCATATTGGCCAACAGAGACTTCAAGGAGGAAGTGAGATCAAGGATAGGAAAGGCAACACAGCATTTACTAAACTTAAAAACGCATGGTAATCAAAGAAATACATAGGCTTGGCAGAACTTTTTATTTTATATAACTTCAGCAGAAATATCAATGTTTATTTTAAAACATTTTTAATTTATGTCGATTTAAATGTTCAGTTGTGAGAAATTATATGGGGCGTCAGACAATTATTTAATGACAGCAGATGTTGAGATTCAAAAATGTAAAGCTCTATAACCATTAAAACATGAATTGTCAATATCACGTCAAAATATATAAAGTAAATACCTTTAAATCAAACTCTAATAAGTTCTCAAGCAGAATTTCTTACTTTGCCTATCGGTAAGTTTCAATTATCATCTATGGCAATATTTTTTCATCAGTTTGTGTGTGTATAGTGAAAATGACATTTACTGACATGTAGCAATAAAAATCTAATCCTTCCAAGCTTACATATATAGCATCAGAACAAAACTGAGAATTTTCAATTCAAACATAATCTCTGTGCGAATGTATGGCTTTGAGAGCTGGCTATCTACTAAATCATTAGACAGAAAAATTAGATGCATTCAAAAATAAGTACCCACAAATGATTTTGGGCATTGGTTGGAAAGACTTCATTATGAACACAAGATCCGAGAAATCACTAACCAGCCGATTGTTGCCATCGGAATCAGAAGGAAGCATGGCACATATTTGGGACAAGAACTCTGGGTGCCAACACACAGATTCCCACATGAGGCTGTCAAATGGAAGACAACGG